AGGGAGGGGGAGCTGGGGAGGAGCCGCAGCAGGTAGGACCCCGTCTCCTTTCCCCTTCGGGCGCCGGATAAACTCACGGCCTTCCTCTGCCTCTGCAGCTTTGGCGACCCTGAAGCCGCAGGCTGGCCTCATCGTGCCCCAGACGGTGCCGTCCTCCCAGCCAAACGTGGCGGTGAGTCCCCGCTGCCCGTCTCGGCGCTTTTCCTATTGATCTCCCGCTGCCGACCTCCCCTCGTTTCCCCTGTGTTCCCTCTCTGGCTGTAACCAGCTCCTTTCTCTGTCCCGCGCAGGGAGCTGGGGAGTCCATGGATCTGGGAGAGCTTGCGGGCATGACCCCCGAGATCATCCAGAAGGTAAGAGCTCTTCGCTTGGCCGCTACAGCCAGCAGCAGACTTCCTCTGGCCTCCCCCCGCCGTGGGAGCCCGCTCGGTCTCTGACCACCCTTCTCTCCTTTTGCAGCTCCAAGACAAAGCTACGGTGCTGACCACGGAGCGTAAGAAGGTAAGCGGCCCCGTTCCGCTCCGAAGACGCCGCAGCAGCCGGGACGTTCCCCAAGAGAGGCCGATGTTCATCTCCACGCCGTTTTCCTTTTGCAGAGAGGCAAGACGGTTCCGGAGGAGCTGGTGAAGCCGGAGGAGCTCAGCAAGTACCGGCAGGGCGCCTCCCATGTGGTGAGTGCTTGAAAACTCCCCCGCACGGCTGGGGGTCCGGGTTTCTCCCGTGCTCTTCGTAGCATCGATAAGTGACGGATCCGGTGCTGGCAGAGCAAGGAGAAGGTTGTGACGCTGTGCCAGCTGGGACTGGTGCTGGAGTAGCTGTTGCACGGGCTCTCACTGTTGGAATGAAACACGCTGGGCTCCCTCAAGGGCTTCTCAGTTCCCTCTGGGGGGCGTTTTCTTGCTTGCGGCGTTAATTTGGCATCCTCCTACCTCGCGCAGGGGCTGCACAGCGCCAGCATCCCGGGGATCCTTGCCTTGGACCTCTGTCCTTCCGACACCAACAAGATCCTCACCGGTAAGGGAGCCGCCTCCGCTTGCTGGGGTCTGCGTGGTGTCAGCGCCGGCGGCTGCCTGGGAGC